CAATTTGGCCCAAAAAACGACCATTCGTATTTTGATATTAATACTAAATGGAAATATTCCGAGTTCACAGTAAACCATGAAGTTGGGGGTCGATATTTTCAATTTGAGAATATGTTTACAAAATTTTTAATGTAGACTTTTTAAAAGTTCACAAAATCCTCAAACTTCACAACCGTATACAATGATGGGTTTTGTAGCTTTATCAATTATATCTAATTTACAGTCAAGGGAAAGATTCTGATTTCTACATTTAGCAATAGCACCATATAAGGCTCTTAGACCCTTTTCATATAATTGTTTAATATTAAATTGAGTTAAACCATTACGTGTGAAATAAACGCCTAGATATTTGAAAATGTTCACTATCTCTATAAGATTCCCGTTATAGGTGAACTGTACATCATTCGACGCTCCCCCTCTACCCAAAGCCATTACTTTTGTCTTTTCAATATTAACCTTAAGGTGCAATTGTTGTGTATACTTATAAGATGTATCAAGTTGTTTTTGTAAATCTTCGACAGTGTCTGCTAATAAAATAGTGTCATCAGCGTAATATAAACTTGTAGTTCTCTCTCCAAATTCTCTGCCAAATTTGATAGACCATTGCAATTATGCGTTATCAAAAAAATTGCTAAGTCATTTAGAAAGATAGAAAATAGGAATGGCGATAAATTTTCCCCTTGTCTTACTCCAGAATTACAATTAGAAATATTAGATACATAGTTACCTTTGATTACTTTATCTTTAGTACGATTATACATACTATTTATTACGTTAAAACATTTTCTACATATATCACTAGTGATTAATTTGTTCCATAGACCTATTCTCCAGACACTGTGGGACGACTTTCCGAAGTCTAAAAAGCACAGTACATACGATTTTAAAGTTTTTGAGGGTTCAATTAAAGCATAGAGTGGAAATATATGATAAATGGTAGAATGTCTTCGAAATCCAGCTTGATTTTCAAGAACAAGTTGGATACTGCCAGCATATTTATTAAGACGTTCATTAATTATAGCAGTGAATGATTTACATAAACAACTAAATGGAACTTAAAACTATACCCCGTTATTTTTTTGTATGATCTTTGAACTATTTTCATCGTTGAAAGTATAGCAGTCGGTTTGAGCTATAGTACACAATTTGGCAGTGAACATGATACCGCGTATTTTTTTTTTTTTTTTTTCGTGGTACACCTTGGATTTCTTTCACTGTTGAAAAGTATAGCAGTCGGTTTGAGCTAAAGTACACATTTAAATATTTGTAGTTAAAATATAAAATAGTGAAAGCATAAATTTGTCGGACACTTACGCATACAGCTGTGTTATTCTAATGCCTCTGCTAGGACACAACTCGGGACCCCGGGCTACAACTGTTACCATGGCTACATCTACCCCAGAGCTATTACTTTGGTTTACCAGGGCTACATCTACCTAAGGGCTGTTACTGGTCTGATTGTCATAAAAAGGGAGGCGGGATAGCGGCGGCAGTTGATCACTTATGTGAAGGAATAAAGATACTTGTAAACATGCGCAGCGAGGGGAATTCCAGAGATAACAAATACGGTACTTGGTTTGAGTTTTTGTGAAAAAGATTACACATCAACATGTTGAAGTGCTCCCCCCGGTAAACATTTAAGGCAGTGTTTTTATATGAGCAAAACGTTTACATGGATTTTGTTTATTTCTCATATTTTGTACGACACTCTTCACTGCTTATCCTACTGAGACGGGTCGGTATTAGACCGAATATTCCTATCCTATTGAGACGGGTCGCTATTATACCGAATGTTCCTATCCTATTGAGACGGGTCGCTATTATACCGAATGTTCCTATCCTACTGAGACGGGTCGCTATTATACCGAATATTCCTATCCTACTGAGACGGGTCGCTATTATACCGAATGTTCCTATCCTATTGAGTCGGGTCGCTATTAGACCGAATGTTCCTATCCTTTTGAGACGGGTCGCTATTATACCGAATGTTCCTATCCTACTGAGACGGGTCGCTATTATACCGAATGTTCCTATCCTATTTAGACGGGTCGCTATTATACCGAATGTTCCTATCCTATTGAGACGGGTCGCTATTAGACCGAATGTTCCTGTCTCTAGAGCGATATGAGTATAATGAATGAAAATATTTTTAGGCGTGAATATTGACATTAAATTATTAATTCTAAAGACAGATCTTTTTGGTCTAATGTTTCACATAGCACAAACCAGCCGGTAAGGGCCTTCGAACATCTCCGAGTTAACACATACACGTCCCTAGTAGCTGCGACCGTCAGCTGTACGCAGGAGCAATGACCGCTGTATTACTTCTCATTAATCTGATGACATTCGGCACATACATGAAAACAATGTCCCGTCGGTTTGGTCTCCCTGATCAGACCAATTAGCTCCAGTTAAATGTGTTGTAGGAACAAAATGTGTACGAAGGCCCACATCGGCCGGCCACGGAGTAGGTGGATCGTAGCCATTGGCTAAGATGAGTGAATATGTGGATGCTCTTGGCTAAAAGGAGAAGGTTTGTGGTAACCTTACATATGGCTAAGAGGAGAAGGTGAATTATACCCTTGGCTAAAAGGTGTAGGTGAATTGTAACCTATAGGCTGAAATGAGTAGATGAATAGTAGCCTTTGTCTAAGAGGTGTAGGCATAGGCATGGTATCTTGGATGGGAGTAGGTGAAAGGTAAATTTTGGTTAAGAGTATGGGAATGGTAGCCTTTTGCTAAGAGGAATAGCCATATGGTAGTTCATGGCAAATAGGAGTAGGTGAATGGTAACTTTACCCTTGGCTGAGAGGAGTGGGTGAGTGGTGACCTTACCCTTGGCTAAGAGGAGTAGGTGAATGGTAACTTTACCCTTGGCTGAGAGGAGTGGGAGAGTGGTGACCTTACCCTTGGCTAAGAGGAGTAGGTGAATGGTAACTTTACCCTTGGCTGAGAGGAGTGGGTGAGTGGTGACCTTACCCTTGGCTAAGAGGAGTAGGCGAATGGTAACTTTACCCTTGACTGAGAGGAGTAGGATGGTGACCTTTGGCTAAGAGGAATAGGCACATGGTAGTTAATGGCAAATAGGAGTAGGTGAATGGTAACCTTACCCTTGGCTGAGAGGAGTAGGTGAATGGTAACTTTACCCTTGGCTGAGAGGAGTGGGTGAGTGGTGACCTTACCCTTGGCTAAGAGGAGTAGGCGAATGGTAACTTTACCCTTGACTGAGAGGAGTAGGATGGTGACCTTTGGCTAAGAGGAATAGGCACATGGTAGTTAATGGCAAATAGGAGTAGGTGAATGGTAACCTTACCCTTGGCTGAGAGGAGTAGGTGGATGGTAACTTACCCTTGGCTGAGAGGAGTAGGTGAATGGTAACTTACCCTTGGCCGAGAGGAGTAGGTGAGTGGTGACCTTACCCTTGGCTAAGAGGAGTAGGTGAATGGTAACCTTACCCTTGGCTGAAAGGAGTAGGTGAATGGTAACCTTACCCTTGGCTGAGAGGAGTAGGTGAATGGTAACCTTACCCTTGGCTGAGAGGAGTAGGATGGTAACTTTAGGCTAAGAGGAGTAGGCAGATGGTAGTGCTTGGGTATCAGGAATATGTAAATGGAAACCCTTAGCAAGTAGTAGTAAGTGAAAGGTAACCTGGTGTAAAGAGGAGTGGTTACATCATAACTGTTGACTCTGGAACATTCAGAAGAATTTTCTGAAGGATTATATACCTATCTACACATACTTTGCCCTTCTCTTGGTTAACATGTTGTCATACCAGGCTAAATTATCAACAAGCTTATGAGATATATTTCACATTTTGGGGCTAGGTCAACATTTGGTAAATATAGAGTCAGTCTTTGGTGAATATTTTTATTAAGGTGCTGAATGTTTGTCTTGTCTAAATATACACCATCAAGAGGTATTGTTTTGACAGTATGTGTTGACCTCAAAATGTCATAAATAGGTTCAAAATACATCTGTAACAAGTTATCAAGCTGGTCAATGTGAGCCAGGGTCTCTAAATTTACATTTTGAACACAGGTGAAATCTAAATAAACTAGTAAATAGAAATTCTTATAACACAACCAGTAGAAGATTTGAGTGTGACGATGACTACACAGACACCTTAATCTTATAACACAACCAGTAGAAGATTAGTGTGTGACGTTTCGATGACTACATGGTCAGCTTCATCTTATAACACAACCAGTAGAAGACTAGTGTGTGATATTTCAGTGACTACATGGTCACCTTCATCTAACAAATGACCAGTGTGGAGCATATTAACAGCAGGTAGGTAGTGCACAAGATGGTAAGGAATAGACCAATTTGTGGTTGTGTTATAAGAACTTCATCCTGGGTAATCCAGGGGTTATGATCACTTTTGCTCTCTGCACCCCTGGAACATGTCATGGCAAAACTGAAGGCACAGGCGAAGTAATTTGATTTGTTCTGGGAAAAAAACCCTGACCAATCACAGGCCAGTACACTCTGTATGAATATTACAAAGGTGCGACACCTAACTTCAAAGTCATTACAATATAGCTGTAATTGACCTCGAGATTCATTTGATATATATTAAAGGATCAAACTAGCCTTTTTGTCTTGTTCAAAATGTATATGGAGCCTTCAATTTTGCCAGGACATGTTCCAGGGATTCAGAGAGCGGAAGTGACTGTAACCCCTGAAGTATCCTAAAGTATCAAGGATTAAGAAATTCTATTGTCTTCAGAAATAGCTATAACTTGTCAAACTCCAGGAGGATGTTTTTCGGGTCTTTGAGTAATTGTAATTGTCTGGACAGAATGTATCCTCCCAACAACCATCTGACTTCTGCTATTTGACTGTGGGTGGTTGTATGGTGCAGTGGTATCGCACTTGTCTTCCACCTAAATGTCTGGGGTTCAATTCCCGCAATGGACGTGACAAGGTATGGGGTAACCCGATTAATAATACCAGTTTCATATGTCCATGTGACCAATATAACAATGTTAACAAAATAATCACACTTTAACATTTATTACTGAAGATCCTGAATACGACAACATACAGAAATAAATTATAATGATAAGGATGAACCTTATTGTTTACACAGTAGGAACTCAGTGAGAACAACCTCTTTTAAATTCATGTACATGTATATACCATACTGTGAAAAAAAATTATGATCATAAACTTTGTTCATCGAGACTGAATGTTGAAAGATTGGTTTCCACAATATTTGGAGGGTTTTAAGTTATATAACACAATTCCATTTTCTGGAAGAAAAAATGGAAGCCACAGTCTGGCTTTGGCGTCTCTTACCACATGCTTCAACAAGGGGTATCATGGAAGGGACATAACTCGACAGAAAATCGTTAAATCAAAAATTAAGGGTCCGAACAAGCAGCATGGCCAGCATCACTCCAGACAACTTTTGTCCACAGAAGTTAAAGACCTGCACTTGATTTCTTTTATCAAGATACAAACAAGGGTGTTTGATTTTAAACTGTATTGTTACTGTATTTATAAAACGACCAAACACAATGAATAATTCCGTGGAAGAAGATCAGTTCTATGTTAACCTGGATGGCCCTAGTAGATATGTTTAGGGGATTGCCTAAATGATAAGTATATACAGTTTTTATGCTTTTTCCCTACACTTTGTTCACTACAAGTATGTCAAGCTGTATTGGTAACTCTGGGAACCAATTTTTGTCGTCTTGTTCCAGATATGGATTAAAAGAAATAGCATATATATTCTCAGATTAATAACTAACTTTTGTTTTATGAAACACATACTTAAATACTGATAATATTTTAATCGAACGACATTTCATCCAAATGTTTTGGTGAAATGTGCCATGTAAGTGTCCAATAGTATTATCATTCTTCTGAAACATAATTCAAAATGCTCCACACAAACACTCAGTGTGATGACAAATACTACAAAGCTGTCTATAATTTTTTCTGAATCAGGGTTAGGCATATTTTCCTCTGATAAGTTTTGTAAACTGTAGTAAACACATCTAACATTGCAGTTCTTGTCAGACACTTCCATTGGAAATCTAAAAAAAGAACAAAAAAACACCAAAAAATAAACATTATACAAAAATGTCATATAAAGATATGTTCTACTAACATGATTTCCGTCAAAACTGTATGAATTAACAGCGAATTTAGAACTTTCACCTGAACATTTTAAATATCTTTGTGATTGACAGCTAAAATCTGGGATTATTAAAGCAAAATACTAATTTGAAATTTCAATGTTTGATGAAGAATAAAATATAAAAAAAACCTTTTGTAAAATGATTTTGCAAGTTGACTGTTCCTTAAAGCATTAACAAATTAAAATACAAAGTATGTACCTAGTTGTGGAGGATAGTGTCATAAGCCTGCTGTACACCAGGGTAAACATCTGTCGCTCTGGCTTTCAGTGACAACTGTAATTATAAAAAGAAACGGAAATGGTCAGAAAAGTGTAAATTCAAAATAAAGAAGTAACATTCATGTGAAATTTGAAGTGAATAACATGAGTTCATTAATTAAAATGAATTCTCCATCTGATTCAGACAAATCACCTGAAAGATAAAAAATATCTCCATTTGATATGCTTCCTTTTCAAAAGATTGCCACGCAAAATAAAACAGATTTTTTTTTTTTTTTTTTTTTATAAACCTGAGGTTTGGATTTAATTGTCAACACATCTAAACAAGCATATGAACAAAACTGTCCCAGGAGTCGAGAAATTCAGACAATAATGTTAACAAAACTGTCTACCAAATGCCGTAAATCACATGAGATGGCATGTCTACTACAGAGTGTGCATACCATGAAGTTCTGGTTACTGGGCTGGATCTTGAGCTCGGCAAGGACCCATATTCCATTAGTGAGTTTGAGTGACTGATACAGCATATCCTGGCCCTCAACATTACGCTTAGCAATCGTAAAAATGTTACTGTTTCTTAACTTCTGTTGCACAGTATCTGAAACAAAACGTAAGTGTTGATATAGTTAGAAAAAATCATTTGTTATTGATTACTAAAGGTATCTTACCTGCCTAGAGCAAAGATTCAAATGAGTACAGCTCTGGAACTGTCTCAAATGTCACACTTTACAACTTTACAAAGTTACATTAGAACTCATGCAGTCTGATTTATCAATAAAATGTTACATCTTCCAAAAATGCATACCTGCATTGTGCTGCACGTTAGATATAGTACTCTGGACCTCGTTAGTGGCAGGTATATCCTTCCAGGTAGCCAGGAACACTCTCTTGTCCATTTCACCATCCTCCACGAACAGCACATGCATTGGGATACTACAGCTAAAGTAGAACACATCGATATTGTTCTTAACGGCCACCTGTAAAACATAAAATATATCAATCTGTATTCACACTAAAACATGTATTTTCAACTTTAATATCAAACCAATGAACACTTTTTCCTACCTTGTGTACACTAATTAAGAACCATTAAGATTGTTCTGGTGTGACTTTATACCTGTAGATTAGTCAGGGGATCCATCTTCTGTACTGGGCCCATGTGATTAAGCTCAAGAGAGGCTGATGCCCCTTGGTTAGGAGGCAGTGGACTTTGAACTTGTAAAGGTGCTGCAGCCGTCAAACCAAAACTGTCAATTAAAAAATAAAGGAAATAATTTTGATGTAATTAGCCTTCAAATGAACACCATGGAAACACTAAATTGAAGTGAATCGTTTTCTTGTCATTTATCATATATTAACAACTATCACAAATACTAATCAAAGTGACTTTGCAATAAAAAGCCAATTTGTGAAAATCTGAAGTTGAAAGACACACAAACAGCTACATTGAAGATTTTGAATAAAATTTTCTCAATACAAAAAAAACTATGAACCAAGTCCACAAATTTTTATTTAAATGTATGGATAATGTAAGATTCAGTTGATCACTTAACTAAAATTCCTTTGCAAATATTCGATCTACTGTTTTAACACAAACTTAAGTAAAAGATATTATTTTTCACAGTAGAAATGAAATGAGTTCTGGTTTACTCTCTCCATTTCATTAATTCTTTGATTTTATTTCATCCAGGAAAAATTCAATCCCTGAAAAAACAGCATTTGTGACAAGAACATTCCCAAGTTCAAGGAACTTTTATCAATTGTGAGTAAATAATCATCATTCATTATCAGAACAGTATAAAAACTTCTGAATTGAACAAATTAAATATGATTTTACAGTCATTTCTTTCAAAGACAATTCAATTACCAATTTCAACGCTGAAATCATGAAGAAGAGTCTCCACGTAACTTTTTATAAAATACATTATGCCATTGATACATTTTCAGAGGGCTACCCTTTCCATACGGAAAGTTAAATTGAAACCCGATTATTTCATACATGTGTTCTAAAGATCATGCAACAAGCTTTAAATAATGGAAGTTCTTCAGCCAAAGCAATGCTATGGAATCAGACATGTGATCAGGAGGTGATAGTGATGTGACAAAGCACAACATTTACCTGTTTTTATTGAACTGAACAGCAAATCCTGACATTGGCTGCATAGCTTTATTTGTAAATGTAAACTCCATATAAACTGCATTCTGTTTGCGTGAGAATGTTCCGTTAATTTCCAATCCTTTACCTTTAGCAGCTTGTAACCAAACCTGTAAAATATGATGAATTTTTCAGTAATTATTGCTGTTTCTTTTCAATAATGATGAGAATTCTCTCAATTGACACAACAGTTTTTTTCATTAATTGACAAAACATTGGTTTTCAGTTGAAGAGAAGAAACAGATATCTTAGTGATTTTTTTTCATTATTTGATAAAAGCATCTGATTACAGCTGATGTGAAGTGACAAACATCTGTTTTCAGCTGACAAGGACCTGTACTTACTTCTGATGGTGGGACATAGGACTGCGTCTGTGGCATACCAAAGATGTCCCCAAGTCCTCCTAATGTATCTCCTCCAGTCACTGGCCCGCCAAGCTACCAAAAAACATAACAGATAAAACATGCTTTCTAAAACCAGAAAAGAAGGTTTTTTCATTCACACCCTGTTTTTGTTTGGCTATCGTGTTATATGTAACCAGATGTCTCAAAATTTTGTGAGGAGATTGACAAGCGCTATCTATATAGTAACCTAATATTCTACTTGACATCAGCTAGTTTTCTTTGCTTTTAAATGTTTAGCATTTTGCCATAGGAGTCAATAGTTTCATTCTTTCCAGTAAAATGTACCCTAGAGAACTAGTCTAAGCACTCCCATGTAAAACACTTGTTTTCTGACATGGTATACATACAAGAGAGTCGAGACCCTCGCCAAGGAGATCCATAGCCCCAGAGGTCTGTACAGGGGTTTGAGAGGTTGGGTTGGAGTACATCTGCTGCTGTTGCATGGAGGGTCCCCCCAAGTCCATGTCGAGGAGGTCCCCAATAAGGGAGTCCACACCCGGGATGACTGTTGCCTGGGGTGGAGGCTGGGCTGATGGCATTTCTCCCCCGGGGGAAGCAGTATCTGGTGCTCCCATTTCCTCTGTGTCACCCAGATTTCCTCTGTAATATAGAATTACCATGTGTTTAAACATTCTCTAATTACAATATTTAAAGCTTGTTTAATAGACTTTCATATCATATTTGTCTCCAGGAACAGCGTTTTAAACCCCTACCTTACTGGAGACTATCAAAGTACAGTAAAACACAGATCAGTTGAAGTTGACGGTCCCAAATGAAATACTCAACTTATCCAATGGTCAGTCACATTTCTAGGACTAGATCTGCACTAATGACTCTGTTCTGTGAGGACTACAACCATACTTACAATTGTGACCTGTGTAGAAAAGAAGTGTATTCATGGCTGTGACCTGGGAGGACTAAAACCGTACCTACGACTGTAACCTGGGGGAACTAAAACCGTACCTACGACTGTAACCTGGGAGAACTAAAACTGTACCTACGACTGTAACCTGGGGGAACTAAAACCGTACCTACGACTGTAACCTGGGGGAACTAAAACCATACCTACGACTGTAACCTGGGAGAACTAAAACCATACCTACGACTGTGACCTGGGAGAACTAAAACCATACCTACGACTGTGACCTGGGAGAACTAAAACTGTACTTAAAACTGTGACCTGGGAGGACAAGAACTGTACCTACGTACCTACGACTGTGACCTGGGAGAACTAAAACCGTACCTACGACTGTAACCTGGGGGAACTAAAACCGTACCTACGACTGTAACCTGGGAGAACTAAAACCGTACCTACAACTTTGACCTGGGAGAACTAAAACCGTACTTAAAACTGTGACCTGGGAGGACAAGAACTGTACCTACGACTGTGACCTGGGAGAACTAAAACCGTACCTATGACTGTAACCTGGGGGAACTAAAACCGTACCTACGACTGTAACCTGGGAGAACTAAAACCGTACCTACGACTGTGACCTGGGAGAACTAAAACCGTACCTACGACTGTGACCTGGGAGAACTAAAACCGTACCTACGACTGTAACCTGGGAGAACTAAAACCGTACCTAAGACTGTAACCTGGGTGGACTAGAACCATACTTAAAACTGTGACCTGGGTGGACTAGAACTGTACTTACGACTGTGACCTGGGAGGAAGTGCCCTTTTGAATGAGGATTTGGATCCCTCTACAAACGAGTTGGGTGGCTTGTGGTAGACTGATGCAAGACTGGAAATATGACAAATAAGCTCGTCTAGAAGTGTTGGCTCAATCAGGTCAGTCTCCTCAGAGATGAGTGGTTTCTCTGCTAGAACGACATCCTTTGCAGCTGCTGGATCTGTGGACAACAGTCGCCAGTAGATGTAGCCTCGGTCGCGAAGATCAGGGTTATCACTGTCCTGTAAAACAAATAAAAAATGCCAAATGGGCCAATACTAGTCTATAGGTTAAGGACTGAAGAGCTAAGTTGATAACAGTTCCACACGATACTGGTTAGTTTACTCTGAACATTTCATTTTAATTTGAAGGAATTCCCAGGGAACATGGTTGTGATCTCTGATATCAGGATATCTATTTCCCACAAAGTGAACTTGTATGCAGCAAACTGAATGATATGCTGTATCTACTTGTGTGTACCTGAGGATAAATGTAGCTATATCTTCCTGTGTGTACCTGGGGATAAATGTAGCTGTATCTACTTGTGTGTAACTGGGGATAAATGTAGCTGTATCTTCCTGTGTGTACCTGGGGATAAATGTAGCTGTATCTTCTTGTGTGTACCTGGGGATAAATGAAGCTGTACCTACTTGTGTGTACCTGGGGATAAATGTAGCTGTACCTTCCTGTGTGTACCTGGGGATAAATGTAGCTGTACCTTCCTGTGTGTACCTGGGTTTAAATGCAGTTGTACTTACCTGTGTGGCTAGACTTAGAACTTGTTGTACAAGCTCCTGAGTGTCAGTGGGGCGTTTCAGGAACAGTTTCACAATGGCTGTCAACAGCTGTAGCTGTACCTGTAGACATTATAGTAAGTGGTTAAATCAATACTGTCAACTGGTCTCTATCATTGTTACTTCAAATCATGAATTGAACATCTTTACCTTAATAGCATTTCATTTTAATAAAAATTTCTGTTAATCAATATACTGCACCTGTGTGTTCTCATCCTGGAAGCCCTCCAAGAAACTTTCGAGTAGCTCATCAGCATTGTCAATTCTCTCAGCATACTCCCCAATGATCCAGATCATAGAAGCCCTTGTGATTGGAATTGAAATCTCAATTTTTGATGTTTTATCTCATGTCATTTCAGTACATTTAATTAAAAAGACATTAACATAAAATACATCTTTTAACAAAAATTCCATTTTCTCACTCAATAACATTTTTAGTTTGTGTTCTTGTGTTCCAATAATTTCAGTCAACCATCACTAAGGATATTAAAACAATGAAGAAAACAGTGGTTTTAAGTGGTTTTCTGCTCAAAGTGTTAAATGCTGTTTATTTTGATAATTATAATGACCACCCAATACTACCTGGCTTCTGGTTCATCCAATGTGTCCAGATTTTCACATAAAGTGGCAATAATGCTCTCATACTTGTTGGGGTATTTTCTGAAAATATCCTGAACAAAAGATCAGAACATAGCTGTAAGTCTAAGGATACATTACCTAAAATAAATAATTGTATACCGAAATTAACACTAAATTTCAGTGATGTGTTTGCGAAAGTAACTTAAGCAAATTTTGACATGACTGCAAATTTTGACATGACTAGTTAATGAGTTGATATTGAAGGACATTTTCTTAGGAAGATAATCTTTTCAGGATTGTAAAACATTTTTACCTTAATGACAACAATGGCTTCTTGTACAACATAGTTGACCTTGGTCTGAATGAGGTCAAGGAGTGTGCTCACACATCTTTCGGCAGCCTGTTCTACCTTAATAGCACAACGCCCTATAGCACGTACAGATTTACGCACAAAGTCCACGTCTACTTCTGTAGCATACCTGTATAAACCAAAGATTTTTGTTCAAAATTCACCACATAAAATTCTGTTTTACTTTATATCATTTAAAAATGATAATTCTCAAAAAAATACAAGTCTAAATTCGTTATGATTGTTTGAAGATTTGGACAAATACTAGATCTTTCTGTTTATAGACAGTTATCATGCAAAATACAAAATGATTGTGTTGTGAAACCTAGTGGTTACAGAAGTTTGTTTTTCATTTGCAAAACCAATATTTTTTTTTCATTAGTGAAAAATCCTTGCAACTAAAATACATTTATAAGAAAACAAGACGAAAAAATCCTCACAGAGTTTGTTGGTTTTACTAATGAAATAGACCAAGCTGTTTTACACACTTACTCCTTGAGTTCAGCCAGAACCTGAGCTATGTTAGCCTGTGTGGCAAGACGAATCATGATATCCAACTTCTCCAGTTTCACATAGATGGGGTCATTGTATTTGACGAAGAATACCTTCATCTCATTCTTCAATATGTCAGGTCTACAACAGATATACACATCAACACTTCATGGCTCCCATGGCTTCTCCTACTGAGAGATTTCCCAGTTAAACTAGTTTTACTGTGAAAAAGTATTTACCTCCTTCCAACCCAATTAAAAATGTTTGATTATCTTAAATATTTTGAAATTTGGAGAGAAAATTAAGATGTAACACAACAAAATTTATATGAATGTGAATTAATTTCACACAATAAACCAGACAATTATTTTGTTCCATATAATGAACAACTGTAAAAAGAAAGTCTTTAATTCAATTGAATGATAAACGTATTGAGAATATTTTAATCCTAGACAGTATTAGAAGAGGCTTTTAAGACCTTGCTGGTATATTTACAACTGTAAAGAAAAAGTTGAAACTGCCTACCTTTTCTGGACAATGAGGTTGATATTACGGAGGGCAACATATTGGATTTCAGGTTCTGCAGACAACAGGGTGACAAGGGGAGGAGCTAATTTCTTTACCAGCATGGATACATATTCACTGTTTGGTTCTAACATCTCCATAAACTTCATCACAACCTGTTACAAAATAAAGCTATCTATCATCCACTACTTACTAACACAAGTACGAAACCTAAACAAAGGGCAATCACTCTGATTATACTAAATCAAATACTTGATTTAATTTCTGATCTGTCCCATCTGATAAAGTACATACATCATTTCTTGTCATTTATACATGGCAAAGCATATAGGCTAGTTTTTGCATTTATATACGTCCCTAGTGATTTGTTACAACAATTTACTGGCAAGTAACATGTATATCATATTTTCTGGATTATAAGCTGCATCGTTTTTACTTCGTGAGTCGGGTGTGTGGCTTACGTACCAGTGTGACTTATATTTAGATAAGAAAATTGGCAAGATTAAAAAAAAAAACAAAAACAGGAAGTCATACCAGTACACCAGACTGTACTGTACTTGCAATCATATGCAGGATGATTTGAAGATTGATATAAAAACAACATTCTCATGGATTTAATTTATCATACTTTTTAATATGAACCACTATGATATGTTCTGAACTTTCCTTGTTACTTCCAAGCCATGGCAGAAGTTAACAATAGCCTTTTGCACAATGAGATTGATAGGTCATTGAGTTATAGGTCTAATTCCAGAACAACCGCCATGCTTGTTCACGATATGAATTGCTTTGTGTAATTTACAAGAAGAAATGATATGAGACTATAAGAATTTGGTCAGCATACAAAAGCCTTCATTAATATTTAACAGGACAGACGCTGATGGAGTTTAGTAAATCGTCTGGCCCTATATCTGTGCATAGATAATCTGTGAAGGCACCCGAGCCAAACAAGATCGATACTTGCTATTTTACGTTTTCTGAAATACATCTATGATTATCTAAAATTATCTGTGTAAAATTTATTTGCAAATTTAATTAGATATTTCTCTAATGATCTTGATAAGTTGCCCTCTGTTGTCTGTTATATGAACAAACTTTGGTCAGCGTAATGGTAACCACTTCGTAGGAACTGCCTTCTGATTTCTGTTACCGGTATATCAAATGTCAACAAGTGATCACCCTATCATGAGAAAGGGTGCAGCTTATATGTGATCCAATAAAAAATGCAAAAGCTGGCCCTGCAGCTTACATACCAGTGCGACTTATAACCCGGAAGAAATAGTACATTCAGTTAACATATAGCATTCAACAATGGCAGTCTCTTACCTTGACTGCTGATAGGACAACTGCGGCGTTGGCATGGGCCAGGCGAGGAGTCACTCTCTCAGAGATGCTTTGGGCCTCCTTGTCATCCTTAGGAGTATAGTTGGAAATGGCATCCAGGATAAACACCTGACCCCACCTGTAAATATTACCAGGTCATCAGATAAATAAATGAAGGATGAACACCTGACCCCACCTGTAAATATTACCAGGTCAACAGATAAATAAATGAAGGATGAACACCTGACCCACCTGTAAATATTACCAGGTCATCAGATAAATAAATGAAGGATAAACACCTGACCCCACCTGTAAATATTACCATGTCATCAGATAAATAAATGAAGGATGAACACCTGACCCCACCTGTAAATATTACTAGGTCATCAGATAAATAAATGAAGGATGAACACCTGACCCCACCTGTAAATATTACCAGGTCAACAGATAAATAAATGAAGGATAAACACCTGACCCCACCTGTAAATATTACCAGGTCATTAGATAAATAAATGAAGGATGAACACCTGACCCCACCTGTAAATATTACCAGGTCAACAGATAAATAAATGAAGGATGAACACCTGACCCCACCTGTAAATATTACTAGGTCATCAGATAAATAAATGAAGGATAAACACCTAGCCCAACCTATACACATTACCAATAAGACTGAGAATTGTTACATTATAAAGAGGGGAAAATTTATCTATATGAAATAGTGCTATTCACTGAGTGTCTTTTGCACAATCTTGGACATTGCAGGTGAAAGACACTGCTGGTGGACTTTTAGTCCCCTACGTTTGCTGAAACCTGCATGCCACATTTTAATTCATTCAAACAACAGCATGGTTCAGAATATACACATGTAGTTGACGTAGTTCAAACATTGACAGATATATGAAAATTTAGAAATTTAATGCATTATGGAGATTAAGCACCTCCCAATCTAGGTTTTGATTTTTCTTTTTATCACTTTGGATTTTCCTCACTCACCTCCTAGGCTTCAATATTAAAGCCCTTAGCATCACTGACGAGCCATTGAAGGATAATCCATTTTAATTAATTGTTTTTCTCTACTGTATCTAACTCTAAATTTGTATTAAAGGTGCTATTTAATTGTCTTTTGTACAGTCTTAAAGAACAATAAAATGTTTGTTGACCAATATTTCTACTTACTCTGTACACTCATTGAGAGCGGTGAGAAGCTTGTTAATGGTGTTACCATTCATCACCAACACCTGTTGAGCAGTCGGTGATGACTCCAGTATCTCCGTTATAGCTGCTACAGCATTGGCCACTACCTGTAAAACACTGAAGAATTCAGTAATCCAGTCTCAATCAATCATTTCTGTCATTTCTGTTATAAAAATTAACCTCCTTTTCAGTATAAAGGATTCTGAACTTTGATGTTTTAAGATAAGAAACTTATAATTCACAGATTTTGAAATTTTTCTATGAAAAAAGGCCAGTAATTGCTCAAGGCATTGTCTATTTTTGAGAGTACCTTTTCTTCAGTAACATAAAAACATCACTGTAAATTTCTAGCCAGTAAGCCACTGATAACCTTATGAAACACTGCAGAGCAAATACAACTCCAAGATTTTTTTCAAATTTCAAAATCTAATTCCCTCATCAAAATGAATAACACAAGCTATCCCACCTCACCAAATGGTTACAATCTTTGCCTAAATGTGCTTTTCAAAAATGTTACATGCCTGTGAACAAACGAGTTTGATGACACTTTTAATTTATCATGTCAAGCATGAATCGGGACAGATCTGCAAATATCAATACAGACTTTGAAAAGTTTAGTAGAGATTCATCAGGAAGCATGTACCATCAAAACCTAAGTAATGTGCACAGGTACATTTTGGGGCTGAAAACATGAAAAAAAAACCCTTCTATTCGCATAATGTGTGCACCCAAAAATTCCAGTCAATATTGATCCCCAGGAGCCAAGAAATCAATCTCAGAATTTTCAGCCAACACATCAGATCAACGATATAAAGTCCAAAACTTAAAAGTATTCTCCTCAGGTTCTGTTTTCACTTCATTTACTAACTTTTCATTACCTTCAATTTTTAAAGGTATAACACAATTACAAAAAAAAAACAACAAAAAACAAAAAAAAAACAAAAAAAAAAAAAAAAAAAACTGCGTAATGTTTGTGTTGAAATTACAGGTACAAGTCATTATCTATCTATTGATAACCAAACCAGGTAATTACAATCTCTGTGAGTCAAGTTTTCTTTCGTGTCTCTCGGTCACATGCATGCGCCAGCTGACCTAAATTGTGGCCCTAACTCTGTATATGCAAGCAATCTGTACACAGGGCACGGAATGGCATGGCAAGGAATGTAGTGTAGCCATGCATATGTGTCACATTACACATTTTAGTAAGATAATGGTGCCTGGACTACCCCTTTATTCTCTCTCTCTCAAAAAAAAAGGAAAACTGTGCACATTACATGGGTTTTTACAGGAAGATCAGTAGGCTGTACTTCTTTCATATTTGAACAGCCCTGGTATAACTTGTCAAACAAATAAATAAAAAAACCCAAGACAGGTGGTTATGTGTTACTTGCCATTGGGTTGGAGTCAGACAACATATCTTTAAGGAGATCCAGGAAACCTTGGTCCTCCACCAGCTGAGCATTGATATCATGGAGCTTTGCCACACAAACTGCAGCTGTCTTTCTCACATAGGGGTCCTCATCCTTCAGACAGTTCCTCAGAGGCTGACATAGGTAGTCAATGATCTTGTCCACACGAATGCAACCCATAGTCCTTACAGCAAGAGCTCGGATCAGAGGATTAGCATCCTCACAGTCCTATGTTATTTAACATAAAAAGTTTTGAAATTCCCAATACACATATAACATTTTAGGCCTGGTTTACTTTCCTTATTTGTACATAAACAATTTAAAAAAGTTACTGGTATGCATTTTTATATCAGGATGTTACAAGAATTTCGTCCCTTTAACAAGTAGAAATCAATATCAGTATAAAAGAAGAAGTACTGCAATATGTTGAATGCATAGAACTGTTGGAATACATTTCAGCATCGGATTGAAAAGTAGATTTCAAATTAAAAATAGCCTGAAAATTAATCAAAAGATATAGCCTTACTGTAAAACCATAAAATTATGTTGCAGATTTATTGTGTTGATTTTGTAGGCAATCTTTATTGAATGAATACTAGAGGATTTCATGTGTTGTTTTTATCCATGATATCAGGTGTATATCAACCCCACAAAAATAAAAGATTTTTTACTTTTTTTAAAAAATTTTTTTTTTATTTTACTACAATAACCAAAATAAAATCTTGAACAATTCCTATAAAGAGAAAATGTAGTCAAATTTGTGATTCATGATCACATAGGTTTAGCTTTGTTGGCTAGAACAGCCATTTATAATCTGGAGGTCCTCAGTTCAAAGTTAGCTACAGCTAGGTGTTATTACGGTAAGAACATACTTAACTAAAGTAGAAACTTTAAGAAAAGTATTTACAAAGTGTGAGTATTTAATAACACACCAACACAGGAGTAGAAACACATGATTAATTTAGCAACTGCAGGCAGTATGACCTCACCCTGACAAATGTGTTGACAGCCATAATAGCCATGTCAGGCTGACTCTTGGCATAGTTCATCAGGTATAAATACACCAGTTTCTTCAGCTCTAAGTTGTCTGTCTGTATGCAGTTGACAACATCTGGAAACAGGGCACTGAAAATATACAAAATTATTTTCTATATTTAGTAACACTTAAGAAATCAGAAAACAATTTGGAAACAATAAAATGTCTATAGACCATGAATTTCTCTACTTATATACAAATCAGTATCACTGTTTGAGAGATTACAATAAATGTTAATTGATATCAAATGGAAAATCTACAACCACTCTAAGGTCTTCTCATACTTAACTGATGCACAAACTTTAATTGATATTCCAACAGAAATGATGTACAAAGACTGAGTGTTTGTGAGTAGATTTTACCAAAACTATGATAGAATATATCTTGTATATTTGGTTCTCCAAAGTTCATTCAAAAAGAAATGTATAACACCTGAAAATGTTGATTCTTTTTCTACGGGTACTTCATACATCCTTTTGACATGCTTGCCCCTATTATTTTCTGACCTGACATTCTTGACTCAGTCTTTCACTTACCTCACATCCTTGCCAACTGTCATACTAGCGATAACCTTCTTTACAGCCTCTTTCTTCTTGTCTTTCTTATCGCTTTGGAGCTCTGCTTTCAGTTCAAATATTTCACCTGAAATTTGAAGATCACTATATTTGAGCAGTTATCTATCGTCTGTAGTTTTCTCATGATTGTAGTTTTTTGGGGATCTGTGTTGAAGTTAACTTGTGTTTTCTAGAGCCCACATTTTTTGACCACCTTAATGAAGTGTACCTTATTATACGTGTGGTAGAGACTGTTTGACTATCATATTGCTTTTGTCTAAAAGAATGGGGGTGGATGGGGGCTGCAGAACTTCAAAATTACCATTGGGTAGCCATGCCAATAGAAAAAAAGGTAAGAAAGTGAACTCTGAACTTGAAAAAAGTCCTTTAGAACCTTTACCTTTTTTGGTGGTAGTGAAATACTTTGAATCTGTCATCTTGGTTCAGCTAACTAATTGCACTATCAGGTGAAAAAATCCTGAAATAAAACAACACACAATATACAGATATTATATATTTTTAAATAAACTGTAACATTGAGTCGTTTGACTTGTTAAGTGTTGAATCATATATTACGTTTACTGGTCCAGTGATCCTCTTATTGTTCTACATGTAAAGAAATGTATACACAGCAGCAAAAGGGGGTGTGTCAGGATCACTTACAAATCGATATATTTAGATTTAGTCTCGGAGTTTTATCATCCAAATGAAATTTGGCAAAAATTTGTCTTGCGTATCTAAACTACTTTAATTCTATTAAAATAAGAATGAGAAAAAATTCCTGATATCCTGATAAAATACTAAAAATCAACCGATTCTACACTATTGACGTTTGGCAGTCATTAAACCGGAAGTAGCCGGTGAAAAATAGAAGATGAATATTGGGATAAAAGGAATGTTCATATAGAATAAATCACATCAGCCAAGGAAACACCACATATTCATTGTTCTGTTGATAATGCATTTCAGATTGTCTGCCAACCGATGTTGTAGATATAAGGTAGGTTGCTTACTTACTGCAAATAACTTCCGTCGTCGTCGACACGACACCGACCTTCACCTTTTATCCAAAACCGGAAGAAGAAGACTGCAATCCAAAAACAATTGTAGTTAGATGTTCCTTTACATATTTATCAACCATGGCAGAAAGGGCTGCACACATTACATCAGCGTCATTCACAACAAAGCCATCAATTTTTGAAATTTTAGCCCAAGAGAGTCTGATGACAACAATCCGACCAGCCTTAAAGCACGCAGTAAAGGTACAAGCAGTCGGGTCTAGATCTGTAGCGGTACAGAGTGAGTGACTGGGTTACTGACTCTGAAATCGCTCAGCCTTTGTTGTCTTTTTTAACATGATACAATTACGTATTTGCCAGTGTTTATATTTATCTTATGTTAAGTACTATCGTTTACAACATTCTTATGATTATAAGTTATTTTATCGTTAAGGGGAGGTAATTAAAGCATCACAACATTTGCTGAAAAAGGGGGCAGTTTACGCATCATCTTATACATGTTCTGTCTCTGGTGACTATGGTCACATTCAGTATTGATAAAATATAAAGTATTGATGACAGATCGATAGAAGTAGCCAAATTGGCTTGAAGACTTGGCTTCAAATAACCAAACGATTATAAAGTATCACATTTACACAAATTCAGCTATTGGACAATTCAGATGAAATTTCGATATACATGGGCAGTCATTGCATACAATAATGTACATTGTGGTTTGGGATTTGATTTGACTATTGCACAGTTTTACATCATTCTCAATAGAGCTGAACGATAATATGTACCCAATCATAGTGTATATTGTCTGTTGCAATCTGTATGGAAAAGTTTAAAATAGTGTTTTGATTTGTACTATAACACTACTCTCAAGTAGGGGTTGTAGTTTAAACAATCAACACAATTTTATTAAAAAAAAAGTTGGAGGAGGATAATAATACTTTAAATATGGTACATTTTAAATCAGAATAGAACATTTAACTTTCAAATCACCCAATTACAGGTTTTAGCTGAAAGCAGACCAGATAAGTTTGGCTGGATGATACGATGGTATGATGAAATTTACACAAGTTTGGACTTGGTTCTCCAGAATTTCTACCTCCGTAATCACTGTAAGGTTAAATAAGTTTCGAATAAATATTGTATTATAATCACTTGACAGATTTATTTCTTCTCTTCATACTTTGTGTATCCTTATTTACGTTGAGAATAGATATGATTACTATGTAAAGATTTTTATTGTCATTGGTTCAAATTTCCAAAGTTACCCTAAAAGCTGATTATAAAAGGTGTATATTTCTCTAAAGCCATGAAACAGACAAGATGATTTTTTCTATCCATTTTTCAAGATATTTATAATCATATTTTGCTGTCTGATTTTGTCTTAAAAAATTTACAAAAATTATTTAAAGTCTCAAAAATAACATCCTTCACTTTATTTGAAATGTAAAACTTAATGTGTGCTAATGATTTAACAGCAAGATTAACAAATTTTGAATTTTTTTAACTTCCTGAAACTGTCAGATTGAGGAAATTCCAGATGAAGCCTTTATTTAATGAAAACTTTTTGGTGCAGCTTTTTTTTTTTAGCTTTTTCTCCCTGAGTTAGAATGGTAATTACATTAACATTTTCACCCTAATACAGATAGTATCTAACAACTTACAGGTTCTTCATTTGCTGAGAATTTCTATGGGATCAAGCGAGTGCCTTTATCAGGAATGAGTGTTGGTGATAAACTTCCTCCTCAGATTTTCTGGAAATCCATTGTCTGCCTGGTGGGTACAACAACCAGTCTTACCTTTACATCACTGATGATTTGACCATAGTTGTATAAAATAAACCCCAGATGATCGTTTCCATGTAATAAAATGTATGACGTCATTGAATGTATGAATCTTCGATCCTTAGTCCCTGACCAAGACCTGGGGGACTATAATTTGCATTCAGTCCCTCAGTTCATTTATTCTTTTGTCTATCCTTCCATCTTTCTCTCTTTCCATCCATCATTTGTCTATTTTGTCCAGGCTCTATCTCCTAAATTTCTTGTCAGTGAAACTTCATACTTTGGCTATAGGTACACCTTGGTGAGACAATTTGCTTTGTATAAAAATAGATATCTGGCCTACATTTTGACCTATGACTTATATCAAAGAAAAAGTTGGTCTGGGATCTATCTGCTACGCTGCTTGTCACTTTAACTTTATATTTGGGATATGAGTTCACCATGGTTGGGCATTGCTTTCTTGTCATATAATTTCATGTTTGGTATGGGACTGTAAATCACTGTATTGTATTGTTATACCAAGTTTATAAGGTTTGTGAAACCTGAAGAATTGTTAAAGAAATACTATATTATTTGGTCATTCTGTATGATAATCATAATATATGCATAACTGAACTAAAAGGAGATATTCTTTTAAATCAGCTATTTGGAAAATACCTGCTTTAGAAAAATCATTTTTATGTACCATATGTTTGGACATGTATTATTATTTGATTTCTAGGCTTTAATACCGTATATCAAGCATAAGATTGATAAAAAGTTTGAAGACATGCGGCATAGACTGAACATTGGCAACATCTCCCAGGTACAGTTGTTTGTGTGGTTACTATTTAAACCTTAGACAGTTACAGTTATGTGTATAATTACTATTTATATTCAGTTACATTTGTTTTGATTACTACTGCTGCCCTGTCAGGTATAGTTGTTTGTTTCTGTTACATTCAAGTGAAAGAAATGAGAAGAAAGAAATGGAAATGGGACACATTTTAATGTTTAAGATTCCTGTGTTCAACAATGAAAACCAAAAAGAAACATCAATTTTTGACACTGCTTTTACCTGTTTGTCTGCTCATTGTCTGAGATAGAGCAGGGTTGTAAAATATGGTATAGTTTGTGGTCCATGCTATTCTTTGCTGAAGTCATATTACAGTATTGTGTATTAGTCCTTCACAGTGTCTGATGTCCTAAGTCTCTGATTGGAGACATGCATTTTGTAGCTTAGTCAGATAAACCAGATATTGGTTACAATATGTACCCAAGATCTCCACAGCATTCAATATATATAAGGTATACATGTACATTGTTTTTCACTGTCATATTGCTTGTTTCAGCAAAGCGTTGTTGGAAGTCTATCAAGAGCGTTTGTGGGAGTATATCCTTACATCCACATGACCTGGGAAGGTAGTGTGTTGTGGTATCAGTTAGCATACATGTTCGGTAGAGGAAGATGGCACACACCATTTGTCAAGCTGGCTGGGGTGGAACTCTGTCATGTACAAGAGGAAGATCTTGCTTCTGCTGTTGGTTCACTTGTAGACTGGAACTCTGCCAGGTATTGTACAATCTATGAATAAATATGTGGAGGTTTGATAAAGTCTCAATATTACACTTAGATTGTCCATGTTTGGCCAATTCTTCAGTGAAATGTATGACCTTTTAAATGATTAGCTGATGGTTATGATAGAATTAAAATAAACTAATTTATTCACCTATGTAGAAATAAGGTTTACTGTTATTTATTTAAAATTAGCCAAATAATTTTAGGATAGGTCATTAGAGGCCATACAAGTTTATACAACAATGATTACTCCTTTATTGTAGTTCGTCTGAGCGACTCCAATACATTGCGGAGAGGGCCTTGAACCTGACGGCCACCTCCTTGTCCACTGGACTATCTGTAGGCGTGTTCTTCCTGCAGTTCCTGGATTGGTGGTATACCAGTGATTCCAACGCCCCAATGTTGATGTCACTTCCTGTCCCAGAGGCACCAAAAGTAAATCAAAGTTCACAACCTCTATTGTAATACCATTAATAGATTTTAGGACCAATTAGGGTCATGGAAATTTTGCATTACTTTTACCTTACCAGCATTAGATGGTGTGCAATTCAAATTGTGCTGTGTTTGGTCCGTTGTCCATCTGTCCATCCATCCATCTGTAAATGTTATAGTTATCAGTATTTCTTAGGAACTACAGGATGGATCTTTCTGCAATTTCATGTGTAGGTTCCTCTTGGCCCTAGCTGTGCCTGTTTGATCGAAGTAACAAAACTGTTGACAGGTGGACATCTTTGAATTTGACAATGAATTGTTATCACTGTTTCTTGAAAAGTTCAATTTAAGTGGACTGGACACGATTTTGTATCAGACTGGCCTGAATTTACCAACTTTTTTCATTGAATGTTAGTTAGCTATGTAATGAAGATTTGATCAGTTTTTGTTTGAGGAAAAAAGGTAATTCTTATACCTCAAATCTTTTTTATTGCACGGTTATAAAAATTGCTTGTACCTTGTTTTCATTAAATGCATTGTAGAAATTCAAAGAACCCTTCGAACACTTTGATAATATACATAAATGAATTAGAATATATAAATATTTGTGTACATCTGTTTGAAATTTCAGTAAGAGTTGTGTTAAAGGAAAGGATGTAAAACAGCATTGTTGGATTTTGTCTTTTTACTTGTATTGCCTTATAAATTTGTCTCTGTCGTAAAATTAAAACTTCTTCTTTTGAAAGAATATTGTGATTACATACTTTTTAAACATTTGTTGAATATTTGTTCTTTTATTACTATATCCCCCACTTACATATGGGAGGTGGTGGTGGTATATATTTATCACTTTGTCTCTATGTGTTTGTATCTGTGATAACCTTGGAAATAGAAAACTTGTGTACAAGATTTTAATATAAGATGATTAAGATATATGTTTGTTAGCCCCTGCTCACATTGATTCTGGTTTTTGTTAAAAGGTAACAGAACGGTTTCAAATTTTGTAAAGCTGAAAATGATTGTATATGGTAATTAACTACATTTTACATCGATCTGAATGTTAAGTAAATATTGTTTGGTTTTAAAGATAAATTTACTACTTATATTATTTGAAAACTTGAATATTTTGTGAGAAATGGTTTGTTTTAGTGTGATGAGGACCTGTCAACGCCCCCTTACAATGTCTGTCCAGTTTGTTTAAGGACGAGAACCAATGACACAGCCTTATCAGTGTCAGGGTAGGTAACGCATCATATATTGTTGACAAAAGATTTATTTGATTTTGATATGAATTGTAAAGTAGGGAGTTTGATTATTTCTTAGAAAAGTGAAAATCTACACAACTGAAAACAGAGAATGTTCTTTTTGCTGGGATGTATAAGGAGTGATAGTTCCACTTGATATGAACTGTCTTGTACATAGTAGGCTGCTGTCTGTAGATTGTTGTAATCAGACTTGACAGCATTTTAAGCGCTCTTGGCTGAGACAGGATGTGAAAAATCTATAAATAGTACTTGCAATGACCACTGTTTTATGAAGAAAGATTTGGATGGGGATGTTTGATAATGAAAGTGAGAGGTTCCTTCCCAAATGAGGGACCAGCAAATTATGCTGTTTGAAATTAGTCACAGTCCAAGGGAGATAAATCAGGCTTCCTTATCAATTTACCATATTAAATGTTTTCCAGTCTATAAATTAATTTTTTTTTTCAAATACACTTTTTTCTATCTTATTTTAATCGCTATTGTTGGCCTTGGAATCAAACTTCAAATGGCAAGGTGGAAGGGGAGTGTGCTAACCCTGTATCAACTGACCACACCTATCGATTGACATATCAAAACCTGACCGTTATCAAAATGGTCAGATTTTCAAATATCATCTGGACACATGACCTGTAGTAACCAAGACTTGTTGACCATGACGAAATGAAAATTGACATGCTGCCCTTACTGTCCAGGTTGTGACCGTTCATTGTAATTGTAGATTAAAACAGTCTATATGTAGACAACTCCTAATTATATGAACGCCACTGTCAAACAACCTTGTTAAGACATAAACTTCATTGTTTCATGTAAAATATTTAATATATGGTAGCTTCAGCTTCTTTATTTTCATTACAGTTGTGCTGAAAATATTTCTGTTTTAGGTATGTGTTCTGCTATCCATGTATTTATGAATATGTGAACAAACACCGATGTTGTCCAGTAACCAGCTATCCAGCCTCTCAAGAACACTTGATCAAACTGTATCCTCCAGACTCTTGACAACAGCTGCTCAAGCCAAACATCTGAATGATTGTGTATGGTGGGACATATATTTATAAAATTATTGTGATGAGTGTTTAAGCATGATTGTTAAAATTTCGTTAATTATTCAAAATGTTATTGTTAAAAATTTTATGAAGAATTTTGCATGTTTTTAATTAAAACTTGAGTACTACTAACACTTCTTGTATCTTTTCTCTTGCTTACAATGTACAGAAAGTTTGTGCTTTACACCAAACCATGGTCACAGGATATGCTAGTAGTATATGACCTCACTCAACCATATCATACTTTAAGTTTTGGTTAAAGGGTCTTCACCAGCAAAGAAACAGATGATTTTCAAACAGCTTTTTTATGTAGAAAAAAATGCCCAAAAGAGATGAAAACAGGAAAGTTGAAGGACGAGAAATTCATTGATTTATTCAAACTCCAATATAAATTATACAGTATAATGTCATAAAATAAACAAAGGATAAAATAAATTTATCTCGATTATACTTTCCACTTGGTAAGCCTCAGTGTGATCATGCATGTGTGTGTCTGTAGCACAACGCTTGTGCACAACATAACTCAAACATCCCTGAACATATTTACTTAATATCAATGTGATAGAATCACATCATCAAGATCGAGAATTGATTGGAGAATGATGGTCATCGGTCAAGGTTAAGAGGAGGGTCAAAGGTCAATTGATATAAAATAGATTCCAAGAATGTTTAGAGTTTTGGTGAAGTCTGATAATCAATTGATATTAGATAAACCTTGTGTCAGTGATCAATCAAAAGTACATGGTTGTCTGAAGATTATAAGAAGGTTCAGTATGTTTTAGAGTGTATAGCATCAGCAGAATTAGGTGTCAGAATTTACTGTGTCTAGTATCAGCAGAATTAGGTGTCAGAATTTACTGCCCTTAGTATCAGTGGATCTAGGTGTCAGAATTTACTGTCCTTAGTATCAGTGGATCTAGGTATCAGAATTTACTGTTCTTAGTATCAGTGGATCTAGGTGTCAGAATTTACTGTCCTTAGTATCAGTGGATCTAGGTGTCAGAATTTACTGTTCTTAGTATCAGTGGATCTAGGTGTCAGAATTTACTGTTCTTAGTATCAGTGGATCTAGGTGTCAGAATTTACTGTTCTTAGTATCAGTGGATCTAGGTGTCAGAATTTACTGTGTCTAGTATCAGTGGATCTAGGTGTCAGATCTAGGTGTCAGAATTTACTGTTCTTAGTATCAGTGGATCTAGGTGTCAGAATTTACTGTCCTTAGTATCAGTGGATCTAGGTGTCAGAATTTACTGTGTCTAGTATCAGTGGATCTAGGTGTCAGAATTTACTGTTCTTAGTATCAGTGGATCTAGGTGTCAGAATTTACTGTTCTTAGTATCAGTGGATCTAGGTGTCAGAATTTACTGTTCTTAGTATCAGTGGATCTAGGTGTCAGAATTTACTGTTCTTAGTATCAGTGGATCTAGGTGTCAGAATTTACTGTCCTTAGTATCAGTGGATCTAGGTGTCAGAATTTACTGTTCTTAGTATCAGTGGATCTAGGTGTCGGAATTTACTGTGCATACTATGATTTGATCTTGGTGTCCATAGATGCCATTTTCCATATCCTGTGTAAGGTTGCCTGGATTTTACTGTCAGTTTGTATACAAATTTCACTGAAAAAGTATTCTGATTGTGTGTTAGATAAATCTGTCAATTGAGCAAAATACTGGCAGAAACACAAGGTTTTGTTTGAGAGCTAAAGACAAGCACCTGTCCTACATTTCTGAATTAAAGGTCAAGATTCAACATGAATGTGATTTCTTTTAAATCTACAACCAGACAGTGGTAAATGGTTTTCCACCTGAAGGAAAATAACACTGACAATGATCTGGATTCATTTAAAGTCCTTGTGTCCTTACAAGTTTTAAGTAATCCAATTGGTGCTTTGAATAGAAACAATATCAAGTCTGCATTCAATTACATTACATATGTACAAAGTTTTGAGATACAATGTATGTAAACTCTTTTAGTATTCCTTATGTAATTCATTAATTGCTGTGGAAGAAAACTCCATTAAGGTAATAAAACTTAAAAAGTTGATTTTTAACTCTAAAGCTTTAAATATTTTAAATATCTAATCATACATAAAAGTTTTCTAAAAGGAATTTTGGAAAGGAAACTGAAAAAAAATTAATGGCTTCTAAAAATAGTAATGACTCTGTAATACAACTCCTAGAGAAAAGTTGGTGTAAACCAGATGTTGCTGTATATTGAAAATATTAAAACTTCAGAAATAGCTGAAAAATACTAGTTAAATAGTGTGGTCAGATCTCATTTCTTTTGATGAAAATATGAACTACAGATTATTTTATCTGTACACAGTGTCTGTGGTTCAGTCTTTAGCCCACCACCTCTGGATCATAGGTTCAAGGTCAGTGTGGAAAATTTGCCAGGTACTGATGGCTGGTGGCTTGTATTCCTCCACAAACATTGGCTTACCTCTGCCACCCAAACCTGGCACACCCTTAAATGACTGGCTGTTAACAGGACAAATTTTAACATTAACTCAAACCACATTTATCTGTACATTACATTATCAAGTATATAATTATATTTACGTAACTATCTCATGCTTATAATGCTATTTCACGTAGGTTTTATTTGATGTGCATTGTTCGATATGCGCATTTGTAAATGTTTGAAAATGTACCATCTTCCTAGTATCACACTTATATCAAAGACTTTTAAGAGGAACATTTTATCAGTAATTGAATACTGTTGTATGGTGTTCATGAATCTGTAATTACGGTAGCTGTCCTTACGTTTCAAGTCTATGATTTATCCTTTCTGAACAAACTTTTGAAGGATTTTGATTTAAGATCTACCAGGTATGTAATTTTTAATAAAAAAAACAAATAGAAAACTGTGGAAAGTGCTTACTATCAGAAATTAGAAATACTGACTTATATTCATCACTTTGTGCGTCTATTTCTACATGACAGAAACCTGTGCTACCTTCTGATATCATTGATAGATCCAAAGTTCTTTACTAATAGCTTCAAGTCTACATTTCTATGTAAGGAAGGTTCTGAGTGAAGCTGGTTGTCCAACTATTTGTCGTTGTTCTGGAGGTCACTGTACTTATGACCTTTAAAACAATAATATTCTATATTTCTTTATCAACTGAACTAAACCACCACAGTCAAATATATTAGTGTTTTGGTACAAAGGTTAATCAAGTATGGGTTACCTATATGAATAGTGTCATGAACAACACTACCTCATGTTTGTGTGTCTCGTGTCTGTTTAGACTCCTCAGGACAATTCACACTCCAATGATCGCTCAAAGTGGAATGAATTTGTGAGTCCGGAAACAATTTAATGGTGTATTGTGTATGTCAGGGTAATTGTTGCGAGTCATTGATTGTTGTCGGTACCAGCCGTGCGAGAGAATCCGACCGTTAGGTGTATTTTAGTTGTCCACCATAGACTTCGCCCTACTATTACAGTCTGGTTAGCTGAGTACACTGTATCTGTAAAACATATTTTCTAATTTTTTTTTAAATTAATTTTTTTTGCCAGTATTTTAAAGTTGAGAGAATTGTCCTATTTGTTTTTATGTCTGTCTTTTTTCTTACACCAATTTTTATCTTAAAAACTGAATCATTTTAATTCAAAATGAAAGCCTGCAGTAACTGTTGCTGTGCTGACTAGACATAGCAGACTGACCTTAAGTAAAACAGCATCATTGTCATCACTGAAATCAGTGGATAAATAATATATCATAATCAGTGATTTTATTTTTCACTATTTTATTTGAATATGGATCTGAATTGGACCTTGGGTCTTTAGTTTCAATGACATTTGATATAAAAACAGAAACTTTCCTAGATGTCACTTTGTAAACCTATAACAGAGGTGAATAGGGTTCTATAATACACATATTCTCTTCTGTTTGCACAGATGATAAAAGTATCTTATGTCATATTTATCAGACATTAAACCCAGGAGTTAAATATTTAATCTCAAATCAACACTGGGGGGATTGAGGCACAATGTCTCACAATCGATTAATATATTGGTAAATTCTTCGGGGAACTGCTGTGGATACAAAAAGTCCTCACTGAAAAACGGTAGAATGTAGGACGTGAGTGAAGGCAACAGGTACAGCTCCTTTTCCAATCACAATTTATTTGTGCATCAAGTTGTTGACATGTTTCAGGTCCAAGTCTTCACTCTCGACCTGAATTTAAAATTCTCATGTGGCATTTTGCTGAATGCAATAGATGCTGTGGATTTAATAGCAGGCAGGTCTTTATTGTCAAAGGAAAATAAAAACTAAAATGTTACCACGACATGTTTCTCCTATAGAATTAGGAACAAATGCTACTTTAAAGTCTTAATCAATGTATGTATATTATATAGGTAAGAGTTTCCTGAGTGTTATAACTAACTAGCTGTAGGATGTTGTCTTTTTGGATTAGCAATCCATCATTAAAATCATTATACATCATTGATTTACAGCTGAGGGTATTTCATATATGGAATTCGGCCACACTTTAAGACAAAAGCTGATGACAGCAGTAGGCCTTCCTTTTGTCCTGTACCTGACCCCCGACGGGACATTTAATGCCATTGACATGCTATTAACCAATCAGGTTTGAGTATTGGAATCAACCCTACTGGTAGTAATACTGTGTCAAAGTATAAAAAAATCTGTATGATCAATAGCTAGAAGCCAGGTGTGTCAGAGTGTATTTACATACACTGTAATATATCTACCTGGTCATTTACCTGTTGGTGAGGAATCTACCTGGACATACACCTGTTAATGAGAAATCTACCTGGACATACACCTGTTAATGAGAAGTCAGGTGTGTCTTTATGGACTCTTTTCATCTGTTGGGTGGAAGTGTTCTGACCAATTCTGATGGACCATTAGGTGCTCTCTACAGATGGAGGTATTGAGTGCCATTACACTGTCAGTGTGGCCCCCTGGTGGGTTTTAAATTTCGGAGGTTGGGATATAAAGTGCTTTGAGTGTCAGAATGGCCAGTAGATATATCATACAAAATAGGAAAAAGGTAAGTTACAACATGTTTATCCAACACAATTGA